CCTGTAACACAAGGAACTGAGTTCTTACACAACAATGACCTTGGGAATGGAGTCTCCCCCGGGGTCTGCAAGCTGAAGCTCAGGCGTTAATGTTTGAGACTCATGATCTCTGAGGCACGGGTGCCAAACTGTGCCAAATCGGGTGTTCTTTTAAGTTGCTAGATTGCAGTCGCTTGTTAGCGCTAACTTGAGATGTGGTAATTTGATGCCACAGCAGCATCGGAAACATCACCCGAAAAGCCTTCTCTCGGAACTGGAACTCCGATGACTGCTCTGGGGACAGGGTCAGTTACGGGCTCTTGTCACAGGCCTTCCAGCCAGGCTGCCTCCACCACTTTTCAGTTGTGAAGCTGGGCTAACACTAGTGTTTCTTGAGAAGTCTGGTGTTAAAAGTGATCCGGCTGCCAACTCCGTGCCAGACACCCTCACGAACTCAGCCTCTCTCTGCGGCAGTCGCCCTTAGACATCCAGAGTATGTCCCCACCCTTCAAAAAACACAGCCTGCTGGCCACTCTCTGGTGCGCACAAGCTCAGAAACCTAGGACTGGAGCTGTATGGGCTCTGTATCGGCTTGAATGTGAGAGGGTTGGTGGCTGGGGACTTGTTCAAGGATGTGAGGGGACACATGAGGGCTCACTGGGTGTATCTTCTTGCTGAGACCTCAGAAGCACAAGGTATAGGAAGGGGGCCCTAAGGTTCTCACTGTGCTGCGTAGTTTGCGCAGGGCAGGCTAGCTGACTGTGGCAGCGTAGTTAATAGAATCACCGTGGATCTCTAATGGCTACTAGAGAGGTGATAGTATCCCTGGGGTGGGGCTTAAGCTTTCTGGAGAAGTTTTCTAACAGTCACAACTGTCTGGAAAGGGCTTTACAAAAGCATGACCACTGTTTACAGTATTAACAATGTAAACTTCCAGCCTCTTGAAGCCATATGCTGTGTGGGTGAGCATGTGTGTGCGTGTGGGGAGGGAGGTGGCGGGCTGGGGAGGTTTGCTGTTGATAATGCAGATGGTTAATTTTCATCTTGCCCAAACCAATACCGGCACCACAAAAGCAGCCTCTTTCCTCCCCTTCTCTAGTCACCTATCCCCACAGCAGCTCTTTGTAGGCTTGAAGCCATTCTGAGCTAGTATTTTGCAGAAGCGCCAATCTAGGCCAGCAGGTCTCAAGATGTGGACCCTGATAGTCTCCAGCTGGGGCCTTGAGGTGGTCGCCAGGGAAAGTGGGGTTTAAACTGCCCCGCCCCCAGTCTCACACAAAGGCAGCCATGCCCAACTGTCTTCTTCAAGTTTCCTCGGCCAAACTCTCCGTTTAAAATAAAAAGCCAGCGTCAGGGGCTAGACAGCTCAGCGGCTAAGAACTGCTTTTCCAGAGGACTCTGGCTCAGTTTCCAGCGCACACGGCAGTTTGTGTCATCTGTAACTTCACTTCCAGGAGACCTGGTGCCCTCTTCTGACATACACATCCATGCAGGCAATATATCTCCACAGCCCAACCCTCAGGTCTCCACTTCTTTAATGTTTTACGCGTCAAAATAGAGGAAAACATTAGACACTTTGGCTGTACACTGAATAAAATGATCCCCTGGATCCTTGGATGAATTTCAAGCTAACTGCAGTCACATCTTGGTTCTTTGGCAGATGATACACTCTAGGACAGTATGCGTACGGGTTGGAATCAACACAAGAATTGTAAAATTACTTTTAAAAATTTAAGGTATCTTTTTGTGAGTAAACAGAACAAAACTCAATAACCTCAACTGTACAGTTCTCAAGTGAGATCTTTGTAGATGGCGTGTTACAATGCCAGGATGGCTGGATATGCCTGTGGGAGCCTGTCCCTTTAAGAAAATGAACCGGCAGGGAAGGCTGCTAGAGGTAGTCCTTGAGACGAAGTCAAAGTGTGGAAAAATCTGTCCTTGGGCAACAATCCCAACAAATGCCACACTTTTGCTGATGATTCTGCAGACTAACTAGAACTTGCGTGGCCGTTTAATGCTGCACGCCAAGAGTTCAAGTTTTCATGGGCAGTCCTGAGTCACCGTACCAGCTGGTTACTGTCTTCTCAGCACCTGACCTAGCACCCCGCTGACGACGGGGTGGTATGTCATCAGATGGCATTGGGAACCTCTGGCAGAGAGGCCCCCACCTAACTTCTGACGGCCTCAGTGTGTTGGGTGAATGTACTGACTTATGACCTTATGTCCTGTGACTGTAAGGAGTCCACGTAAACCACTTCTTCAGCGAAACAAGCCATTTGGGCACCTGAGTCCACACTCACAGGCCAGAGTCAGTCGTGCCTGGAGACTTCTCTCCTTCGGGGGAAAAGCTGTTTTGCACTGACGGTGCCATGTGTGGATTTATGTGTAGGCTTGAGAGTGCCGCGGCACACCCGTGGAAGCCAGACAACAACCAGTGGGAGCCTAGTCTCTCTTTCCACCACGTGCCGTCCAGGGATTGAACGCAGGTGGCCAGGTAGAATGGCAGGCACCTTACTTGCAGGGCCATGTCACCGGCCTCAAATGTGAGCTTTTGATGTTACACAGCGAAACGTGTCGATCTACATCCCTGAACTGGTATCCTTCAAGTGATCAGGAAGTGATAATGAGGCCACAGAAAGAACGTCAATACGGAGGAGGAATAAGAGAACTAGTCACTATAAAAACAGGGATGGCAAACCATATACTAGATAAAAACACTCACAGAGTCCCTATCTGACAAAGGAGTATTATGCCTAACACAGAAAAGGCCACCAGTAAATCAAAAGACAGCTCAGAAAGAAACGAGAAAAATGCTTGAAGATTTAAAAAAACGAAATGAGATCAGGTGTGATGGAGTACACCTTTAATCCCAGCACTTAGGAAACAGAGGCAGGCGGATCTCTATGAGTCCGACGTCAACCTGGTCTACGTGAGACCCTGTCTCAAAACAAAACAAACCAAACTACAACCCCCCCCCCCCAAGCCATGGCATGCACAAATAGCTTCAACAAGTTCAACCTCGTTGACCGCTGCTGGAGGAATACCCATTGAAAGCACAAGGTAATGCTACACAAGGCTCCAGTCTTTCACCGAATTGGCTAAAACTGACTTGACAGCGTCGCTAGTCCCATTCCCTACCCATCCGGTGCTGGAACGAAACCCAGGGCATCATGGATGCTAGACCCACTGAATCAGAGAGGCTTCAGAGCAACTCATCTTTCATACAGGACTGTAGTGGTAGAAACAGTGCGTTCATTTTGGACAACTGTCATTTTCCAATACCAACAAACACGAACCTAAGCTGTGGCAGTAAACACCCGAGAGAAATTTAAAAAAAAGCAGATTCACAGTTAAGGTTTCCATGTCCATAGGTTTTATTCACAACACCCCAACTGTAAACAATCCAAACACTAAGTACAAGAGAACACATTTGTACAATTACACTACTCGTTAAAAATTACTACTAGTTACTGATATACGAAACACATATGAATTCCAAAATCTGCTTATGAAGGAAGGCAGACACAAGGTATATGGTACATGAGTTCACTTCCACGAAGTTTGAGACTAGGTAGGACCAACACGGAGTGAAGGCAGGCAGCCCACGGGTTGGGGAGACAGCATGGACTGAGGACTTTCTGGGGCGATGACCTTTTGTGTTGGTTTGGGTACTTGTGACAAGGAGCTATCATGCTGCTTACTTAGGTCTGGATTGTTTAAAAAGTTCCATCTAAATCATAAGCATTTTTTGACGAACGTAAAGCTGGATTGTGGTGACTATTAACCTGTGAACCTATCCTAGGTATGTAACATCATTCTAAAAAGCGAGGAATTGGCTACATAGAGGCTTTCTCTGGTACTAGTTGAAGATCTGGATAGAGCAACCGCTTTTAGGAAATGTATTTAAATAAATGAGACAAATGTGCTTTCTTAGGTTTGCATGTAATAACACTGATTCCCAATGCGAGCAAAGACTGCCTGTCTTTAGGGGAAAAAAAAGTCACTTTTTCCTGACAAAAGTATGTCTCATGATCAAAAATTGCATTACTGCCCATACTGTATCTGTTTACGTGCAAGAGAAACCTGGCCAATCTTCCAGTTGTACCTGCTATTTTTGTGCCAATACTTAAACTTCTACAGTTAGAGCAGCTTGAGTTAATGGAACTGTTTACTTTGTATGGCTGAGTTTATGAACGCTAGTTTTCATGACTGAACAGATTCTGGTGACTTTAAACTCCCTCTTAAATACAAACAAGACTACCAAGAAGCCACCAAGATAATGAATTAAAAGAAACTTTAAGCTGGCACGGTGGCACACACCTTTAATCCTCACAGTTGGAAGACAGATTTCTGAGTTTGAGGTTAGCATGGTCTACATAGCAAGTACCAGGCCAGCCAAGGGTACTGAGACCCTGTCTCAAAAGCAAAACAAAACAATGAATTTTTAACCATTAAACTTCACACACATCCCCAAAGATTATTTTTGACTTCTTCCCTTGTTTGAAGCATTTACTTATTTTATTTTGTTTTGAGACAGGGTCTCGTGATGGTCCATTCTGGCACTGAACTCTCCGTCTCCTAAATGCTGCCATTACAGGTATGAACCATCTGCCTGGTGAAAAGGAGTTGTTTTTTTTTTTTTTTTTTTTGAATGGTGAAATGTTTCCCTTAACTAGTCAACAGCCTTGGTGTAAAATTGTGGGAGTTTACATGCAAGAGCGGTAGATAGAGGTAGAGTTGCAGACATTGCTGACCTTCTGAAAAAGAAAGGAAACTGTTTCACCCTGTGCTGCATTCTGGACCTCTAGAAAGCCAAGTGCCACTCAGATGAGGTGCACGGGGCTTTGGGAACTGCGCAGTTCATTTGGGAGACCTCTCCTTACTCAGTTGACTTGAATGGGATTGTTTTCACAAGATGAGCGTTTCTGCAATCTTGCTGGAGGCCCAAGTAAACACTGGTGTTCCACTTAATTATACAGGAGTAGAACATAAGTAAAAAACACTTAGCACACATTTCACTCTTATTTTTCTATAAAAATATAACTCTTTATTAAATAACATGCACAAATATTAACTAGTCATTTATTAAACAGATATGATTTAGAACAAGACTTAAATACAAATCCTTAGGTACAATTGAATATCTTGTTCATGATGTTTGAATAGTTTAAAAAGAATCACTGATTAAATTCAGCATCCTTATTTTTCTTTGAGAACCCAAATATTCTTAGGCATATGCTCCATTCTGAGATTTGTTTCCTCTAGTATTTTAGACCTTCAGAAAGTCTCTAACATCAAGTCCTAACTATGTACTAACTCACACATACACTACGAAGTGCAGTAACTTAGCTATCCTGACGGCCTACAGAGGAAGTGAGTAGTAGCGGAATCGTAGCAGAGGCTCCAGCTGTTTGAGCTACCGTGAAAGAGTGAGCACTGTGTGTGTGTGTGTGGGGGGGGGGACTGGAAAGCTGGGCTGACTGAGGACTGCACCTGCCGGACCCTGCTTAAGTGAAGCTCTCCCCTCCTCCCCCAACAGCTTGTTCTGCTTGGTCAGTATCACTTCTGGTACCTTCCCCCCAAGATGAACCACCAGAAAAAACGCTCTACAGATCTACTCTTCTCTTGCTCTCTCTTGAACGTTTAATAATCCTATTTCATTTTTAAATTTGCCACACGAGCTCATCAAATTTCCTTCTTAGGATAAAGAATAAACAAAGTTTGCATTAAGTTGTTTTTGTATTAAAAAGTATTGCTTTTATAAATTATCTTTCAATGTTCCCAGCCTTAAGAAGCATAACTTCAGCAAGAAACAGTGCTTCAAAGTCTACCCTGCCTTTCTGGCCCCACTGACAGAATGAAAAGGCCAAGTCCCTCATCTAAATGTCTAAGGGAAACGACACCCAACCTCATCAGATCCTCACACTGTGTGTTTGTCACATGTGCTGCTGTATTGCGCATGCCAGTACAGTAAGAGTGAAAATATAAATTGTGTAAAAATTCAAAAATCCCTAAGCTTAATATGAACCTTTGCACAGAAAAACCAAATAATTTCTTTTTCTAGCTGGGATTTCCAACTTGTGAGCTGAATTTAAGCCATTTAATTCATATTTTTTTAACCTTTCCTTATCAAAATAGGACATATCCAGTATTACGTTATAATTCAAGACAGTATTGTAGCACGGTTCATAAATGTTTATCCTATTTACTTATGATTTTAGATTAATCTAATTTTCCTTTCCAAATGCTCCACAGGTTAAGCAGCAGGTTTTATCTGAAGTTTTCCTGAATATCTAGTCTACATTGTGTCATAGGATAAATGGTTCTACGGATATTGCTCATTATTTTACTATAAAAGCATACCAAATCATATTTCAATTATGAAAATTTGCAAATTACACATTTTGCATCTTGATACAAGGAAAAATACAACATAGTAATAAAATCTTTACGAACATTTCAGGATCTGGAATATTCCTAAGTCTTTTCCTTATTTTGACTACTAAGTATCTTAGTTTGATTTGAGCATTCAACTTTTATTTTGAAAGTGCAAAGGCTATTAAGCTTAAAAGATTAAATTTAAGCAATATAAGAAAGTTTACAATGATTTAACATGACCAATAAAATTTATTAAACATATTTACATATATTCACAGGTTCTTTCATAGTTGAGTATTAAAATAGACATTTACAATTTCAGAACTTCCATTCCAAGGCATTGGTTGTTGTTCTGGGGGAAACAGGCTTCTCCAGTGAGTTGAAGAACCAGCGCTTCTTTGATGACTAATTCTGACCAGTGTGTCCCACACAGAAAGTCCCCGGTTCTCTTGCAGGAAACTGGGATGAGAAGTCTCACACTGTCTCAGGCGTCAGTTACAGAAAGTTAAATTACAGAAAGCATGCGACACAACTAAGCCACCATCTTGAGAGTATGGGATGGACGCAAGCTAACTCCACACATGCATGCCTATTTAAAGGTTCACTATCTGAGCACACTCCTACTACACTCTAAAAGCTACAGCTTTGGTCCAACAGAACAAACAGTTTTACAGTCAGCTCTTTGTACACGCTTTGAGGGCCAGTCCCTTGTATACACTGACCATTAATTACAAGATGTACAATATGTATAAAATAAGTTATTAAAAAGGAAGACAATATTAAAACTTTCAAAAAAGAAAACTGTACAATTAATTTACAGATAAAATAAACTGAAGAATTTTGTGCCGAGATTTTCTTCCACATTAGAAACTGTTTGGTAGGAACTGGATCTTTGCGTTTACTCATGTACTTATAATGACACCAGCAAGAGCTCTGAGTACTTGTGGTTGGCTATCTTGTTACTTGGAGTGCTAACAACTTCCAGCGCTGTTAACAGATTTTCTCAACCTTTTAAAGATCTACTCAGTTTGCCAACAAGTTCTAATGCAATAGTTACCTTTGATCAATATAAATAATAGTTTTCTATTAGAAACTGTATTTGGACCTAAGATCCAAAATATTTTTCTTTATTTTTATAAAATGACAGTGCTCACTACATAACCAACTTTAGTTAACGTCACTAACAAGTGTAAAGGCGTATTTTCAGGTTTTTCTTAAAAGGCAGTATTCCACAGTATAACACTTGTATCATTAGTTTAAAGCGATACCAACACAAGTACCAAATGCTATATAGGAGTCAATTCAAAATCATCATTAACATCAACAAGGGGAACATAAAATTCCTGGATCTCATAAATACTGATCGACTTATAGGTGGCGGGATCGAGTTCCTGAAGTTTGAGCTGCCATTCTAGTCTCTGGACGGCATTTAAAGCTGCAGCTTCGTGTTGCTGCCTCATTAAAAGACAGGTCTATTTAAAAGAAGAGAGGAATTGATTTATCTGTTACATTTGCCGTTTCAAATATATTTGAATATTAAACATATTTACAAACATTCACAGGTATTTCATAGTTGAGTATTAAAACAGACATTTACAACCTCAGAACTCCTATTAAGAGGCACTGGTTGTTGTTCTGGGGGAAACAGGCTTCTGCAGTGAATGAAGAACCAGCGCTCTTGATGACTGATCCTGACCAGTGTGTCCCTCACAAAAGCCCCCGGTTCTCCTGCAGGAATCTCATCCAGTTTTGTGAGGAGCAAGACAGATACATAACGGGTGAGAAACAGTTCACACCATAAGCCTCCTCTGTCCTGTCACACCAGTGTGCCCCACTTCTTGATCTCTTGCTTCATTGTTATCTTTTTAATTTGGGCTTGCTAATATTCTTTAAAATTATAAGATTTTGAATTACTGAAAGAATTGTAAAATCTATACAGAAATGCTGTAAATTTTCAAGTCAATTTGGCGAGGGGTGGAGAGGAGTGGAACAGGCTGGCTTCACACTTGTAGACACCTTCCTGCCTCAGGATTCCGCAGCTGGGGTTACAAATGTGCACACTATGCACACTGGCTTACCTTCTGTCCTTAGTGAGGGCGACACCAGACAGGTGTACTGGATGACGAGTACAAGGAACACAAAATACTGTCTCTGTGCTGCTCTGGTTCTGTACATCAAGTCGTCAGTCCTTTTTTTATTTATCTATTCATTTAATTTTTATGTGTGTTGGCATCTGGCCTGTATGTATATCTGTGTGAGGGAATCAGATCCACTCGAACTTGAGTCATAGACAGGTGTGAGCTGCCATGTGGGTACTGGAAACTGAACCTGGGTCTTCTCGAAGAGCGGCCAGTGCTCTTTTTATCGCTGAGACAGCTCACCAGCCTAGTAGTCTTTTTCTTAAAGATTTATTTTTAATTATGGATAGGTGTCTCTGGATGGGTATGTGCAGGTGAGTAAAGGTGCCTAGAGGCATCAGATCCCCCTGAAACTGGACTTCAGGTGGTTGTGAGTCAACTGTACAGGAAGTGGGAATTGAATTTAAGTCCTCTCCAAAAACAGTATGCGCTCTGCCACTGAGCCATCTCTCCAGCTCTATTACATTAGTTCTTAAAATAGGCTTGTAGATTTTATTTCCTATTTTCCAGCTGTGGTTCACAGTGAATATTCATAATTAAGCAATGTTTCTTTTCTAATTATTTCTCACTACTGGAGACTTCTAAGGACAGGGAAACATTAACTAATTTACTGTGTATGGGTGTTTTGTCTGCGCATATGTACATGTACCACATATATATATATATATATATACACATATATGTGTGTGTGTGTGTGTGTGTGCCTAGTGCCTGGAGAGGCAAGAAGGTAAAAGAGGGCACTGGACCCCTGGAGCTTCAGATCGTGTGAGCTACTAGAGGGTGCCGGTCCCTGTAAGAGCACTGAGTGCTCTGAACTGCCTAGCGCTGCTGCAGCCCCAAGGTAAGCGCCCATTTCGTCTGTTTAAAGGGCAGCTCAGCTGCTAGAGCACTGGCAGGGCAAACACTTGGGGGCGACCTCCACAGACACACAACTGGTATGGTGCTGCATGCCTATAATCCTGGACTCTGAGCTGAACTCCCACTCAAGTTCAAAGCCAGCCTGGGACACACAAGAACAAAGACAACTGCCATGTAAACACACCTACCTTTAGTTTGTCAAACTTGTCATCCACATCTTGTAACCAGGACATGAACTGTCTTGCATTAAATCGATCTCTCACAGAAGTTTTACTGTCATCAGACTAAAAAAGAATGTTACATGTAGTACAATGCTTTCTTTAAAAAAAAAAACTTATAATATCTCATTTATTATGAATGCTTAAATTTTACTGATAGGAATGTCTTTCTTTCTTTCTTTCTTTTTTTTTTTTTTTTTTTGGTTTTTCGAGACAGGGTTTCTCTGTGGCTTTGGAGTCTGTCCTGGAACTAGCTCTGTAGACCAGGCTGGTCTCGAACTCACAGAGATCCGCCTGCCTCTGCCTCCCGAGTGCTGGGATTAAAGGCGTGCGCCACCATCGCCCGGCAGGAATGTATTTCTAAAGGGAAAACATAATAAAGCTGTTCTTTCCATACCAAATAGAAAGGGCACTCACAGAATCCTGAAGATGCAATGTTTGTTATGAAGTAAAGGCATGGTATAGGGAGTGCTGTGCCTGCTGTATCTTTGTTAAAGTTTATCATACAGAGGAAGAAGTGATCATGGGGGAGACACCTGCCGTCAGAGGTAGTATTTCTTCCAGGATGGATCTTTTTAAGGGTTCTTAAAATCAGGGTAAAGGCACTTGTCATACAAGCCTTCCTGATTCACACAAAAGAGACAATGAGAACCAACTCCACCTTTGTCTTTGACCTCCATACACACATGCTGAGTGCCCAAATATGCATCATGTACACACAAAACTAAAATAAAAAAATTCTCAGTATCAGTTTTGAAATGAAGATATATTTAAATTTCAGCTCTGTAACTTTCTGTGTGACTTTGAACTAATTTTACACTTTCAGTTTCCTATGGCATATATTGAAGAGCACCTCTCAAGTATATTTTAAGAAATAAAAGTGGCTGGGAGGTGGTGGCGCACGCCTTTAATTCCAGCACTCACAAGGCAGAGGCAGGCGAATCTCTGAGAGTAAAATACAACCCGGTCTACAAGAGCTAGTGCAAAGAAAGGTTCCAAAGCTACAGAGAAACCCTGTCTCAAAAACCCAAAAAACAAAAACAAATAACAAAAAAAACAAAACAAAACAACAGAAAAAAAAAGAATAAGAAGTGGCTCAATGTTTGTGCACACACAAAGTACTCATATGACTGGCATTCTACAAATGTGGTCAAGATTAACATTTGTTAACGTTAATGTTAGCCTCATACTCACAACTCATATTCTCATCAACTGCATTTCCTCCGTGGTCTCAAGGACAGTTTGGCCACTTTAAATTTTATTGCTTAATATTACAAGTTTCTTGTGAGAAGGGAAAGCTAAAAGATGAACTAACCCTACCAAAGCAGAGGGGTCTTCAGAGGCATCTGACAAGTAAATCAGTCTGCCACAACAATCTACCTAAAGTCATCAGTAAACAGGCTTTCTGGACTCAGCTCTTACCACTAAAAACTGTTACAGATGAGCATCCTTGTCAAGAGAATAAGCCTCAAATCCTGGTATTTCATCAAGCTTAACATTTTAACTTAAGATTTGGTGTTCTGGTTCACTAGGAAGATTCAGGGCAAAGTATAACAGAATTATTAGCAAAATCCCCTTTCCATTAATCACTTATATTATTTATTTTTAGGAGAGATTAGAGAAAGTTGGGTGGCTATCTAAGAAAAGTGAATAGCATCAAAAGCAGTAATTTTTTCATCTTAATCTGAAAGCAGCCACCTTCCAGAAGATGTCCGGGATTTTTAGTCCTGTGACTATTAGAGAGACTGGCTCAATTTTGTTTCACCTCTGATTCTGAGATCATTTTGAGCTTCCTGAGGAATTCGCTTATTTTTTAAATTCTTGGGTAAACTAAGTCAAGTGACTTAACCCCAGTTAAGGCCACAGGACCCATGGTAGGAAAGGACAACTCCTTCACACACATACTGAGGCATGCAGGTGTGCACACGCACGATAAATAAAACGTACTAATAAAAATATACAATCTTTTCACTTGTATTTTTAAGACTAGCTAGTGTTATGTAGTCTAGCTCAGCCTCAAATGTGACCCTCTTGCCCAAAAATATACCATAACAGGCTGAAACTTTTTTTTTTTTAACCCATCAGAGGCTAGGAATTCCTCAGCATGCCACAGGGTGTGTGTGAAGGTCAGCAGACAACTTGTAGGAATTGGGTCTCTGCCTCCACATGGGTCCTGCTGATCAGACTCAGTTGAGACAAAGTCTCTGTACGCTGATGTGCGTACGCTCATCTTGCTGAAGCATCAGGAGCCTAGACATGTGCTACCGTGTCTGGTTTTATATGGGTTCCAGGGATTCAAACTCAGAGCCTCATACTTGCAAGGTAAGCACTTTACCTATTGAATCATCTTTTTAACCCTTCATTTTGGTTAAGCAAATAGAGTTTGCAGCCTCTTAAGTTCCGGGATGAGGCCAGTGCACCCATGCCCTGATGGATGCCTGGTTTTATAACAACCCACAATATAGAGGACCGGCTGCTCCAGGAATACTTTTGAGAATTGCATTTCTTCTTTGACTTTAATCCAAGTTTCTTCTACAAAGGCAGATCTAAAAACAGGCATGTTATGTTCTTGAAAGCACTATGTATCAGCTAGCGCTTTACCTGTGAGTCCAAGGGCACATTGTACACTTCTGCGTCCAGTAAGACAGTGCAAGCACTAAACGGCAGCGTTTGATTTGCCAGTGTTCTTGCAGCTCTGTAATGAACTCGCAGAACTTCTTGTTCATTGGATACAATAAGTTTTTCCTAATTGAACACAGAGTAATTAAAAATATTTATAAAGTTATTTGTGAAATTAGATAAAATCACTTCAGCTACACTAAACAATCTTAATCGGAGTACCATTTCTCAAACAGGAGGCTTGAGAAATTTAAAAATTCCTAGGGGTTCTAAAAAAAAATCTTTCCTCTCCAAAATTGGCAATTTCTTTCTTAAAATACTTTTTTTAAAGTGTATGGATGAGGCTGGAGAGATTGCTCAGTGGTTAAAAGCTCTGGCTGATCTTATAGAGGACTTGGGTTTAGTTCTCAGCAACCACATCTAGGTTCACAACTGTCTGTAACTCCAGTTTCAGAGAACTGAACACACTCTTCTAACCTAAAGACATCAGGCATGCACGTGATGCACAGACATACATGCCAGCAAAGCCCTCATACATACAATAAAAATAATAAATCCACATTTTACTCATTTCATCAAACCAGAAAGAAATCTCATATTATTAGCAGTATTCTTCTTTTTTATATCTTCTGGCTATCAGTAATCTACCTTTTGTCCCTAGGAGTTTACTTGTTTTGCAAATTCACTTATTTGTAAATAAAATCATACACTATGTGGTCTTTTGTGACCGACTTTCCTTAGTGTCTTATATTTTCAAGGCTCACCACACTGTAGTGTAGATATCTATCTCTTTGCTATTGACAAATCATATCCTACTGGAGACATATATTTTATGTATGCCATTCATTAATTGATCACTTGGATCTGAAGGGTGACAGACTATGTTAATTTGGCATAATGATTATCTTGAGCTGAAGTCATTTTAAAAACAACTAGGACAAGGGCACTCTGAGGAAATAAAGCTCCCAAGTACAAGATGTCCTCTACACACCAGGAGGAAAATAACAGGCGGTGAGGAGGGTCTGTGGAGCCCTGGCTGCCCTGGAACTTTTTCTGTAGACCAGGCTGGCCCTGAACTCAGAGCTCCATCTGCCTCTGCTCCCTGAGTGCTGGGATTAAGGGTGTGCACCACCACCACCCAGCACAAAGGAACATTCTTACCACCAGAAGCAGGGAGGTAAAGTCAAGAGAACCCTTCTGAAATAACCTTTATCTTCCCTTTGCTTTCTTAGGTTTCTCTGTTTAACCTAACATAAAAGCATCAGGATTTTACCACTTCTTTGGATCTTCATTTCCTCATAAGGACTTCCTGTTAAGTAAAGCTTACAATCATAACATATAAGCATTTTGTTGGTCTGCCTTATGACTCTTTAACTCTCAGGTCCAGACAGAGTGCTATAACAGGTCTGAGATAATGCTTTGCTTTCTTTGGGGTTACTATGAAAATCTGTTCTGAGTATTTATACTTAAGTTTTTCTCTGTCCTGGACATGTATTTTTATTTTTTTATGAGGTAATAACTAGGAGTGAAACTGTTGGGTCATAAGTCTTTTAACTGTCGAGGAACAGCCAGACTGTCGCAGTAGCGGCTGATATCATTTTTACATCCTGACCAATAATATATGATTCCAACTTCCTTATGTATTTCTTGGTGTATTCTATTATGCTATTTATTATAGTCATCCTAACAGATGTTTGCATTTCCTTGTGATGTCTGCTCTCTCTTTCTCTTTCAGAATTTTATTTTTCTGTGTATGAGTATTTGCCCTCATACACAGTGTGTTTGTGTACTACACCCACGTGCCTGTGCTTACAGAAGCCAGAAGAGGCACTGGATCTCTTGAAATTGCAGTTACAGGTGACTGTGAGCTTCAATATGTGTGTTGAAAATCAAACCCAGGTCCTCTGGAAGAGCAGGGAGTGCTCTTAACTGCTGAGCCACCTCTCTAGCTGAAGCTTAATTTTTACAATGATATTATTTACAGAAACAAACACACTCCTCTTTAATGAGTTACCTGTCCCAAACTTCCAGTTATGGATGGCCTGAGTCTTATTAATCTTTTGTATTTAGCAGATGGAACCACAGATGTCCATTTGTAGATTGCAACCCATCCTGAGTCTGCTACAGGCTTGTATTACGTGGTCACCATAAACTTTTACCTTCAGTGTCAACAAGAATAGCTCTGAGACCTGTGCTAGCAAGAATGACCAGCAAACAGTGCCTTGTGAGGACAGGCTGGGAGCACAGACACTTGGCTTTCTCTGTGCAGGGAGGAGGATGTACAAGACACTGTCACTGAGTTCAGCCTGTGCCAGTGCTTTGCTCTCCCTTCTTGCTTCTCTTTGCAATCACATGAACTTTACTCACTTAAAAACATAGTCTAAGAACTCGTTACAAGTTCCCTAATTGGCTCAAAGTACAAAAAAGGTTAAGAGCCTCTGCCATAGGGAACCCACTGCATATAAATCAAAGACAAGCATTTGCATATTTCTGTGAAATATAGCTTACATCTTTTAGAGGCCATATAACTTTACCACAAGCTTAAGGGGATATGGATATATTTATGTTTTCTTTTGAGATATGGTCCCTCTGTAGATCTGGCTGTTCTGGATCTTTTTATGTAGACCAGGCTGGCTTCGAACTCACAAAGATCCACCTGCCTGTTTCCCTCTGGAGTGCTGGAATTAAAGGCATGTGTCACCACATCTGGCTTGAGGGGATATACTTTGCAAATCCATGTAAAATGACTTCCATGATTTCTAGCAATAGGGTTAATCTTATGTAAATGTTTTGCCTGCATATTATGTATGTGTACCACATGTGTGCCTGGTGCCTGTAGAAAACTAGAAGGTGGCTTTGGATCCTCTGGAACAGGAGTTAGATGGTTGTGAGCCAATATATGGATATTTGGATTTGAACTTTGTGATCTAAAAGAATAGCAATGATTTTCTTAACTACTAGACCATCCCTCCAGCACCAGTTTGCCATTTTTTTTTAAAAAAAAATTCTTTCATGTCAAAACTAACTACCAGCCAGGTGGTGGCAGTGTACACTTTTAATCCCAGCATTCAGGAGGCAGAGGCAGGCGGATCTCTATGAGTTCTAGGTCAGCCTGGTATACACAGTGAGTTCCAGGAAAACCAGGGAAACACAGAGCAACCCTATCTCAAAAAAACCAAACCAAACAAACTACTGAAAATTAGATACTAAGGCATACCAAAAAGATGAGTAGATATAGCCTCTCCCATTAGCCCTGAAGTGACTGGTATGGCCAAAAGCACTCAAAAACTTAGAATTCTAAATGTTCTACTAGAAACTGACTATTTGAATACTACAAATTTAACAAATGATGTATCACAGAGATTTTAGATATAAAAACATACTTCAGCATGAGTTGTAATAAGGAAGCAACTATCCTAAAACAGGTGTAAAATTCTCCCTTCAATTAGATGAGCATACAAGAAGAAAATCACAGCATTTCCCCAAAGGGTAGTCAATGGGTGATATCCACCAATGAAAAGGTTATAGGTCATTTTTACATACATTTATATATGAGGGCACCTTACCCGTTCGATACTATGTTGCAAACGCAGTTTCATTCTTACTACTTCCTGTTGCCGAAAGAGCTCTTTAAGTGGATCTGACAGCGAAGGGGGTGGTGTAATCTAATTAGAAAGCACATAGAGACTATTAAGTTTTTTATCTACAATTAAACTTTCAGTGTGTAACTTAAAACCTGACATTTCGTGAATTAAACAATACACTCTGTGATGGATAATCTTGTCAACTTGATTAGACTGAGAATCCTAGAGGATTAGTAAGCAATACTTGTAAATGTCAATCAGATATGCATAGAAGCAACTGTTTTAGTTTTCTTCTCTATTGCTGTGACAAAACACTGACCAAAAGCAACCAAAAGCAAACACTGACCAAAAGAGGGAAGGGTTTATTTGGCGTATGGGTTACAGTTCCCTGAGGGAAGCCAAGGCAAGAACTCAAGACAGGAGCTAGAAGCAGAAAGCAATGGATGCATGCTGCTTACTGGCTTGCTCAGCTATTTTTCTTATACAGGCAAGGCCCACGTGACTAAGGAGGGTACCGCTGAGTGGGCTGAACCCTCCTCCATCAATTACCAATCAAGAAATGCCCAATATGCATGCCCACAAGCCAATCTGAGGGAGGAGACTGACTCTTCATTTGGGGTTCCTTCTTCCCAGGTTGATCAACTTGACAACAGAAGCTTTCTAAGACAGTTAGGTTATGAGGGCTCTGCCCTAATCAACACTTCAATCAAACTCTAGTCTGTTTGAAACAAAATCTGAATAAACTACTGAAAGGTGGCAGGACTGTAAAAAGAGCCCTGGGAGTGGTGGCAGAGTATCCTCCAGTTCCCTTTCCTGGATGCCATGAAGTGAGGAGTCTCTGCCACATGCACCCACTAACATGATCTCTGCCTAAAGCAATGGATTCAGAAAATGCTGAATTGAAACGCAGAATCTTTGAGGCAAACTAAACACTGTCAGCTTATTTGGCACAGCAAGTCCTTCTGATGAAAAAGCCATTATACAACTGAGTAAGACTTTTCAGTCAGTTCCAATTGTCTAAAACCTAACAGGACATTCCATTATGTTTAGATTTTTTGATATTTAGGCCACTGCAAAATTTCAAAGAGCAAATCATTAGGACTAAAAAGTTAATTACTGCAGAGCTATTTTAGAGCATCAGTTAGAGCTCCCAGACAGGAAGAGATGAAAGTCACAGAAACAGAAAAGCTGGTGCAAAAACTTTGAGACAACAGCAGTGCTTCAGTTTAATAGGCAAAGCCTCTTTGTAGACTTGATAAGAATAAAACAGAAAAAAACCTCGGTGTTAATGAACTCTCTCATGAAAAAGTAGACAAAACTATGTAATAAACTTTCTATTTATTATTTATTTATACATTACATACATACATACAGTATCCTACCTGTAGGCCAGTCGAGGGCATCAGATCTCATTATAGGTGGTTGTGAGCCACCACATGGTTGCTGGGAATTGAACTCAGGACCTCTGGAAGAGCAGCCAGTGCTCTTAACTGCTGAGCCATCTCTCCAGCCCGAACTTCCTTAATTGTATACAACATCCCACATAACTTTGTGTGTAATCATTCAAAAGTTGTCAGTTCATTTCTAACTTGAAATTACAATGGATTATGCTTTCTGATTAATTCCAGCGGAAGTTGGCAATTTACTATTAATGTAGATAGGCCAGTTTGGCAACAATCTTTGACCCTGAATATTCTCTCTACTTAAGGTATCTGTGTTTTCCTTTTCATATCCTTGTTATGACTACTACTGGCCTACTAGGGAAAGGTAAGTTAGTTATCTCCTAACATGTTATAGTCTGTTAACTCCATTAGAAGGCAGGACATCAAATTCCTATGGTGGTGCTACAACGATCACAAGAGAACATTGAAAAAAGTTCTTTCCAAAAAAAAAAAAAAAATCAAAGCTAGATTTGTAAAGACTTTGTATTTCTAACTAGCACGCAGGAATTCTGAGGAGCCAAACACGCATAAGACATCATCACAAGGTCTCAACAGAACAGTGTGGACATCTATAAGGCAACAGCTTATTTGGGATAACTGTTCAGGCCTCTAATTGTAAAAACACATTTTTTGTGTCTGTGAGTTGTTTTAAGTTTAAAGAAATGAGGTTTGTGCTATTGTTTTATTTATTTATTCATTTATTTATTTATTTATTTATTTATTTATTTATTTATTTATTTATTTATTTATTTATTTATTTATTTATTTATTTATTTGGTTTTTCGAGACAGGGTTTCTCTGTGGTTTTGGAGCCTGTCCTGGAACTAGCTCTTGTAGACCAGGCTGGTCTCGAACTCACAGAGATCCACCTGCCTCTGCCTCCCGAGTGCTGGGATTAAAGGCGTGCGCCACCACTGCCCCGGCTGTGCTATTGTTCTAATACTATCATCTCTTGTAGGTATACAGTTGTCTCAAGGAACACAGAGAAAGACCACTCAGTTAAAACCAGGGCTGCCGGTTCTTTGAGAGGACAGTACGTGAGCATTCTGAAGGAAGAGCTAAGTACATAGATGAATGGTGGAGAAAGAGTGGAGGGAGAAAGATAATCAGAAGAGAAGTGGAGTTAACCACTTAAAACTACACAAAACTAATGGTGTGAAGTCAAATTTAGGTATCTAATTTGTGACTGCTAAGTGGGCATTCGTTTCACTACACAGTTTTGTACTCCATTGCTTTAATAATTCTCATTAAAGGCAAAAATCCATACTATATCCAATTTCTATCTACCATCCAATTTCTATCATCTGTCTCTCTTAAAGAAGTATTTGAAACAATTCTAATTTAACGAAGTCTCTCTGCATTCCGTCACGGGAATCAGACTTGTACTATACCATTTCTCAGGAGTGAGGTGTCAAAGAGTTTAAGAACTAACTTACAAATTCTAACAGAACATGCTCTTTTTTTAAAAAAATATTTATTTATTTATTATGTATATAATATTCTGTCTGTGTGTATGCCTGCAGGCCAGAAGAGGGCACCAGACCTCATTACCATGTGGTTGCTGGGAATTGAACTCAGGACCTTGGGAAGAGCAGGCAATGTTCTTAACTGCTGAGCCATCTCTCCAGCCCCCCAGAACGTAATTTTTATGTTATAATCCAAGCTTACATAATTTCAGTTAAAATGTTTTACTTTTTAAGAGGAAATAAAAATTGGGCAACAAACAAAAATTATTAGCTGAATTTTTTAATTATTAATAATGGATTTTGCTGAGACTGTATCAATAACAAATTTACCGTTCATTACTTATCTATTGATCTGTAAAGATTTTAAATGCACCAGCATCATTTCTCAGCTAATGTTTAGTATCTGTCCTCATCCATTTCAAAGACACCAGATTAAAAGATAGAACATGTAAAGGCACGCTGCCAAAGAGTCCCTATGTTAGAGGGTTCCAGTGTACCCTCTTGTACACTAGGGGCAGTTACTAAGACCAAGCCTAGCAAAGTATTGGAAGAAAGGACTTTGTATGCAACAATAAGATTTTGAGATTTACCCTACAGAAAATTGAGAATCACTCAAAATGTTTAGCCTCATAGCCACAACAACAGATTTTTTTTTCTTTTAAAGACAGGGTTCCACTATCTAGTCTGGTTGGCTGTACTCTCCAAGTAGACCAGACTGGCCTTGAACTCAGGGAGATCTGCCTCCTTTGCCTCCCCCATTTTGGGATGTGTAGTGTGCACCACCATACCCCAACGACAGATATGTTTTTTTAAATTAATTATTTATTAAAGATTTCTGTCTCTTCCCCACCGCCGCCTCCCCTTTCCCTCCCCCTCCCCCAATCAAGTCCTCCTCCCTCGTCAGCCCAAAGAGCAATCAGGGTTCCCTGCCCTGTGGGAAGTCCAAGGACCACCCACCTCCATCCAGGTCTAGTAGGGTGAGCATCCAAACTGCCTAGGCTCCCACGAAACCAATAGGTACAGTAGGATCAAAAACCCATTGCCATTGTTCTTGAGGTCTCAGTAATCCTCATTGTCCACTATGTTCAGCAAGACCGGTTTTAACCCGGGCTTTTTCAGACCCAGGCCAGCTGGCCTTGGTGAGTTCCCGATAGAACATCCTCCTTGTCTCAGTGTATGGGTGCACCCCTCGCGGTCCTGAGTTCCTTGCTCGTGCTCTCTCTCCTTCTGCTTCTGATTTGGACCTTGAGATTTCAGTCCTGTGCTCCATTGTGGGTCTCTGTCTCCTTTCATCGCCTGATGAAGGTTAATATTCAGGAGGATGCCTATATGATTTTCTTTGGGTTCTCCTTCTTATTTAGCTTCTCAAAGAACCTGAATTATAGGCTCAATG